CACATCAGAAGAAATGTCATCCAACCTCTTTATTCATCCAGCTAATAATTGTTTCCATTTTTCTGCGGAAAGAATGAAAAGTGTACAGTGAATTTGGAAACGTGAATTCTCGAGTTATAAGTATATTGTAGATCTAACTTCACAGTGGTCAACCAAATTTTTTGTTTAGGTGTACTAGGAAGTACTTTTAAAAAAATATTTAGTTCGAACTATTGGATGAACATAATAATTGAACTAACGGAAGAGTAACCAGTGATTAAGAAAAGAGGGGATGTGTTACTCTTTCGTCATTAAAATACACATTTAGAGCGAATTGCATACATTATTGCATTTATGAGTGGTAGTGTTTCAAATGACGTCCAATAAAGTTTTTAGAAAACTCAAAATATTTCTATGAAAAAGATCTTCAAATTTCGCATTTACACCAACAATTAAACGCCATTTCCTTAAAAACACCTGCAAGTTTTTCAATGAAAATCGCATCCCTAAGACAGGTAATAAGAACATCGGAATTTAACAATCTTAAGACTTTTAATTCATATTGACAAATTTTGCTGCGACATATTACATATGGCTGGAGGAAGAGCACCACATAAATATTGCCCGAACAGCAGATGTGTAAGTCGTTCAATGAAGAGATAATGACTGAAGTGACATCGATAATAATTGAAACCCAACGCTTGAACGTGCGTATTTGTTTTTAGTTATTTTTTTTCAATATGCCTCAACAAATAATATAATTATTTAATTAATATAAAAATTATTTTCAATTAGAGGAATTGAATAAATGTTTACTGTTGTATTTTTAGTATGGTATTACCAAGCTCAAAAATTAAGATATTCATTGAGTTTTACTGAAGAGTTTATTTATATTTATGTTCTTTTCTATCTTTCTAAAATGTGTGTATATATTTAGATGGGTTAAGAATTTTTTAAAGCACACGTTGGCAAAATGTATGGACTTAAGATCAGAAAGAAAGAATAATTCTCCCTAATAATGGTAAATAGACGTGGGTTTTGCAGCTCTGAAAGTCACAGGAGTACAGTATTTTTACGTAATTATGTCTCTTCATCGATTTGTACATTATAATTCTGTTATTAAATAGTAAAATCGTTTAGGTTTCTCGTAAAAGACAGAATGCGCCTTCGATTCAAAGAAAATAAAAGGAACAAGGTCTGGGTATGGGGATAGTCGTTGACTCCGGGTCGAGTCAGAATATCAACACAGGACAAATCTTATCACCCCGACAAACATTGTGTAAAAGAGCGAGTGTAGCAAGACGTTTTGTCGTTTTACATTATTTGCCATTACTTGATTTTAAAAAGAATTTAAAAAATGAAAAGTATAATAATTTTCTTGACATTTTCTAAATTATGAAGTTTATCAATATAACACATTTATTTAGTACCTACTATGTCAATATGTCATGTTATTTGTTTCCGTAGTTTCGGATTAATTCTCGTTTTTTTGTGAAATGAGATTAATGATAGTATGGCGAATGTAATTCAAGAGGATTTTTAAGTACTTTAACACAACACACTGAAAATATAGTATTACTTTCTCGCTACGAAGAAGAGAGAAAATTATGTAAAGCAAATTAAAAAACAGTGAATTTTCGGCAGCGCAACTCTTATTACACGGCCGTAGTAACGAATTAGTGGTGCTACAGAATGGTAGACTTTTCCGTATTAATTTTCAATTTCCATTGGCCTCCGCTAGCTACTCGGACTTGCCGCATACTCTTACCAGATGCCATCTAACGTCGCCCGGAGCATATTTTTTGTTGAAAATTTCTTAATTTTTATTTTTCATAATAGTAGAACGGAAATATTACTTTAAGATTAATAGAGAACAGTAAATCCTCGCCCTAAATAGCCATTTTCTTTTAAAAATTTGATGCCGTTTTTAACAGCTCGCTACAAAAAATTCACATATAATACATGTACATTATTTTACAACACATTGCCAGATGACATTAAACGATTAAACTTGCTACAAAAGTTGAAATTTTATGTAAAATCATTTCTGCTGCACAAATGTCTCTATTAATTTTAACAACGACATTTAGTGTATTATTTACCATTTGGATTGTATAGTTCTAAAGAACCTGTAACAAATATTGTGCTTCAGCTTCTGGGTCAATGATCCCCATCTTGAACAGGTTTTTGTCCAGTTACCCTGATCCTTGAACAAATGCTGAGCTGGCCCCTTGTTTTGCTTCTGGACACTTCAATTCAACTGCACACTCTTCAATTTAAGTTCTCTTCACAGCACGTCACACACAGTTTTTAACTGTTTTTGACGTAAATAAATAAATGAACTTTTACAATTTTCAAAATGTCAGAGGTTTTCCACAATTTTTGAAAATTGTTAGGCTACTCTGCAATGGTGCTCCGCAGTTACATGAAATCTCTTTGTCTTCGTGAAAACGTGAGCCGCAAAACACATGTACATAAATAGTTGACTAACAATCAGGGGCAAAGTAACATGTGTAACTCCCTTATATCAAATTTACCACTATCGCCCAAAAGTGATCATTTTCGAGCTCTATACATCCCCAAACAGTTTGTTAACTTTATTCTGGGACACTTGTAGAAAAGTGAGAATGTGAGAGTTGTGAGTGTTTCATGTGCCACAAAACGTTTTACACACTGGAGTGATTGTACTCCAAGTTGCCACGAACCCCGAAATTTTGCACGAACAATTTTACAATGTACGCTCGAAACAGCGCTTTCAAGAACTGCTCAAAAGAGCGGCCATAAATAAAACAGCGTACTTGCGATTCAAAATGTTACCCACTCCCAACTTGTGTTTTTTTTGGGGGGGGGATTTTAATTAAACGCAATCCCAATGCATCGGCGGCATTGATGCCGATGCAAACCGACAGAGGGCAACGTGAGTGGGGTGGAAACAGAGCAAGGACGAGTCGCTGCAGGAACACAGACGCATTTCATTGTGTACTGATCAGATATAAGTGTTTTATGTGACTCGATAATATTAATAATAAAATAATATAATAATTAATATAATAATAATAATAATTAATAAGTCAATAAACATTTCAATCATGTATGGTAAATCAGGTATGATAGTAAAATTAGCTGAGAAAACTTGTGCAGAAAGTAAGTTACATTTACTGTCCCAGAAATCAAAACAAGGAGCATCTCATATTATGCTCAAAGATCAAAGGAACTGTATGTGAAGACTCTGAACATAATATCATCAATTACATCAATATTTTGGAAAAATGTTAATTTTAAATGCTGTTTGCAGCAAATTTTGAATTTTAAAAATAATTTCCTTTAAATCAATACATTGTGCATAATAATTATATTTAGAATAAAGGATTTTTCACCTTAGTTTCACATGTATCTGCCTGACATGGGAGCAAGAAATTTGTGAAACTCATTATCAACTTCATTAAATATATAATGGGATAGGTAAATTGAAAAAAGTTCTTAATGGTACGTATCTTTCGTCAACTAATCATGCCCACACATTAATTTTGCAATGACTTACTTCTTTGTTCTCAGACCTTCAATTTCTGTCACTGGCCTTACAAATAAGGCTATTATCAAACATTTTCTCAAAAATGACTCCAATTTTTTCCCTTAAATTACATGTAAGAAAAGTGAAATATACTTAAAAAGGTGGCCTAGGTCAGATTTCACTACAAAAGTTTGTAATTTTTTTGGTGTTTTCCTACTACAAAATTGAAGATAGAGATTTTTACTTCAAATGAAATTTGTCCTCCATAATTAGTTGTTTCATAAAGGTCATGCATCTTTCTGAAAATTTTAGTAATATTCATGCAATATTAAAAAATAATAAAATAAGAATTTTCCAAAAAGTGATTCAAATTTTTTCTTTACACTTTTGTTAGGGATAGTTCTAAATTTTCTGAATAAGATAACGTAAAGTCCATGTTGCTCCATTCATTTGTTTTTTTCATAAATTACACAATTGTACTCTTTTTAACATCTCTCTAATGTTGTTAATATCTACATCATGAGCAATTTGTTTACATTATTGAATTTATTAAGCAAGTTCTTCAAAAGGTGACTAACAAAGTTTCACAAACCCTCAAAAGTTTTTTGTGAAAATAAGCTCAAATTGCTGCACTTTCATAAATGCTCCAACACCATTTTCTCAAAATGTTTTGAGAACGATATTTAATTAAAAAATACAAACAGAGAGGCAAAAAATTAAAGGTATACACATTTCTTTAATGGTTTTAAATGTAGTGATTTCTGGAAATTTGGATGACCATCTTTTGAGGAAAGAAAATGACTCGTTTCACTGACCTCTGAATCGTTTCAAATGAAGGGTTGGAGATCTTCCTTACAGAAAGATTCATTTCTTCCAGTTACTGTATATTAAGTAATAAAGTATAATGAAAAATTGTTCTCCCAATTTTTAATCAGAAAAGTTCATTTTCTCTAAAACAATAATAAAAACCATTTCCTAATGAGTGATTTGAACCAAATATTAACCTAAGTAGTGCAGATCTCCAACCGACTTGAAACGATTTAGAGGTCAGTGAAATGTGTCATTTTCGTTCCTCTAAAGATGACCATCCAAATTTCCAGAAATCAGTACATTTAAAACAATTAAAGAAATGTTTCATAGGAAAGTAAATGGTTTACATATTGTATAAGAAATAATATCAATAAAATTAATTAGGTTGGATAGAAATGGATATTGATTTCTTCAAATTTGACTTTTCTTAAAACTTCCCGACAAAAAAATACCTTTCTCTATTTTCTTCTGTTTCAATCCCATGTCCCATTCTATCCTCACAACATACCAAAATAATTGTCTGAACAATCATATGCACCTGAAGATACTTGGAAAACAAATGGGGATGGCCATTTCATTCACCTTTATTCAGCCATTATTTAATCTATTTACCACACTTTGAAAATTAACTATCAAGGGTTGGTCCTTCTGCTTTAGGATAGGATTTAAAAACTTAAAATGAAATAAATTCAGACACTACATTTGATAGGCCTTTAATGGCTGTTACTTTTATAGTCATTCAAGTATGTACATTGTTTACTCAATACAAAATAATAAATTTGTTCAAAACTTAATTTCCACATAAATCATTTAAAAGACATTCATACAAGCACCCAACAGGATTCATTTTATGACATCACAAGTGGAAGAAATTTAAATACAATTTCAAATTTTTCTCTCGTACTTAATATTTGTAAATGAAACTATAGCAAAATGAACATTAAGGCTACACATCACTGAGAACATTAATATTGGAAACAAGGAAGGAACCTTTTCTGCACATAAAATATGGATAAGGAATGTTGTCATAAGTTTCAGTTTCATATAAACATGGAATAGCAGATGGAAGATACAAATGTTATGCATGAAAAAATCTAAAACATCACTATATATACAAAACCTATTTCAAAAATATGTTTCAGAAATATGGCAAAACTCAGATAACACAATTTCTTTCCACTGAAATGAACATGGAACTTAATTTTTCTGAGCCATTTGCGGCCAAATATTAATATAATCTTACATTACTGGCAACACATTAGTTTATACAGACTGTAATTAATGAATTAGCTTATCACAAATTTGACACAGAGAAGTTATGAAAAAAATTAAATTTCTTAAGGGTTATCCTGTTCCTCCCCTTAGTCAAAATCTTAATATACATTCAAAATTTAAGAAATGAATGTCTCTAAGAAGTGATATCACCATGTTATTATACGACAAGAATTATTTATTTTGGACATTCATTAGGAAAATAAAATTCACTTCTCAGAGCATACACAACATCCAAATGACAGATATATCAATATATGACACATCTGATTATATTATATATTTATAAAAAATCAATCTAAAATACTATTTTCACAAATTAAAACAAGGATATAATTTTTAAACGGAATACTTGTACATCATTATTGTGCAAAATTCCAAATTAATTGTCACATTGTTGCTTCCACTTTGGCTACCTCTAGTGCCTAGCACTACATGAGATATTAAGTCTTGAAATAAAAGGTGCATATATCCTAAATATATTTTGACATCCAAGCTTTCATATATTTTAATATCATTTAGTTGTAATACCAAGTTTTCTTCTGAAATTTATTTTATGTTCTATATACATTTACTTATATACAGAACAACAATTTTCATAAACGTGCACGTGAACAGATTAATTGTACTACGTCAACTTGTGCTGCACACAAATATGAATGGCATATAGAGAAATAAATAATAATTGAAGATATGAAAGTAACACTTTGAAATGAAGCTGATTGGTATAATGGAGTTTGGAACACAGGAATGTGAAAGAGAGGTAAAAAAAAAAGAGATCATTTTCTTGTCATTGTCTTGGACAGACAATCAACATAATGTATGTACTCATTTTCAAGAAATACTTCAAAACATGAGAAATAAAAGTGAATCAGGACAAAATGAAAGAAAAAAAGATTGAAAATTTGCATCAGTAACTGCTCAACATGCATGGGTGTTTCTACATTTTCAAAATATTTCATAGACAAATATTTTTAAGCTATTTGTTTCTTTAAACAAGTGTTTTTAAAGATTTATTTCAGGAAGACAGAAGTTTTTGGTGGGATTAGGTACCTCAGGACTCAAGCCATAAATGCAGTTATTGCAAGTTAATATTTCAACCAATTTGTATGTGTATATACAATTTCAGTGAAAACGAAGTAAGATCTGCATATATGTGTGCAAATTTGATTTCAGATAGTCATTAATATCATTTCAATTAAAACATACATTCTCTATCAGAATTGTCTTGAGATTGATAACATCAGTGCAAGATCTCAGCCATACAAACATTCCTGAGAATTATTCCCAGCACATCAATAATAGATCTGATAATATATTGCTGTGTAGCTGAACAACTGAATATAAAATCAAAACTGTGTTCAGTTCAGATTGTCTAATTTAACAATGTTTAGTTTATTTTTTATGTTAACATATGAAGATATAATTATAACTGTACTAAAACTGGGCAGTAAATTTGTACTGATTTTATAAGGAAATTAATAGTAAAACTTTTTTTTTTTAAATAGATCACAGAAAGGGAATAAAATTAGGGAGTTCAGTACAGAATACAAAACTATTAATTCCTAAGAAGACTTCAACATTTGGCACTACCTACATTTAATTTTATACCATTTCTACTTTACTTAGAATAACTGAAATGGAATCTCTTGGAAGTTTGTTGGATTTAAATACTTATGCTTTGCCACAGAATTAAATTAGTTCCTGGAAACCGACACCTTTTCTTGTTGCAGTAGTAATTGAAATAGTGTTTATGTAAAAAAAATGGATGTGTAATACAATATTCTCTTCACAAGAATGTAATATTTGGTCAATATTACTATTATTAATTTCGATGAGCAGGGGTACATGGTATTCATTATTGCTGAGCATTAACATACCCAAACATGCCTCCTAAAAATTAATATCCATAATTATTCCTTAAAAACATTACTATTTTATAGAATAAAATTAACTTAAGGAATATACAAAGCATAACACCGTATATAAACCAACTCAATGGTCTTAGACCTTTCAGTAACATAAATATGTTAGGTAATTATACATAACCTGAAAGGACTGTCAAGAATTAAGTTTCCAGAATAGCAATTTGTTCTATATTACCGAGGAAGCGGTGGGGAATTCTATTTTATTTGTAGACGTTTACCAATATACTTGGCTGATGTGCTCTACAAAAGCAACATTTATGCCGTGGTCCTAGCGTAAGTCACATTATCATTCAATTTTTTCAATAAAAATGTAATTCATAATTCCCCCCCCCCTCAAATAGAGCACCTGAAATATATTAATGCCAATATATTTCCCAATTTTTTATGGTGAACTTGTTTCACATCACTAATTTAAGCTGCAAAGCATAAGTAAATTTTAAAAATAGGGTACTTTAATGTAAACGAAAATACAGACAGAACAGTGGTTAGCAAATTGAAAGTGCACTAGAAATACCATTAATAGCAAGAAGAGAAAAAATTAGAACAAGATAAAAAATATATTGAATAGCACCATTCAGAAGATAATTGTTCATTAAATTGAAAGCTCTGGCCAGAGGAATTTGTGCATACTGATCACTAGATCATCTGATTTGGGCTCTAGACAAACATCAAATATTAAGCATCAAACTTAAAATTCAGTGCACTATTTTGAAATAATTATATACAATTTATTTCATTTTCCTTTATGATTAAGACAAAACAAATTAAGAGAAGCATTAATGGTTTTGAAGTAATATTCAAAAATATTCTACCAAGAAGTATGGAAAGTTAAGAAAGAAAAAATTTGCATTGCAACTACATTGTCCTGGTTGGAAACATATCAATTTTACAACAACTTTTGTAACATAAAGTCAGAATTGATTGCAATCTCTAAGGTGAAACTGACTTATTCCTATTTTCTGTAACAAGAACAACAATTTTATATAATAAAAAGTATCTTTGGATTTGTTTTAACAGTGAACAATGATATAGTAAATTGTAATAAGTACAAATATGAGGTTCTGCCATAAAACATAAACATCTGTTGGAAAACATTTATAAAACAAGAAAAGGTTCACATAGTTTTGATCTCATAGTAACAACCAGCTGGATGTAACTCTTTAATAATTAACATTAATTATATTAAACACAGTCATGATAACTATTGTTATTTAATTTATAAACAGTCATGACAGCATATGCAACAGTCTTTTATGATTCTTCATTAGAAGTAAAGGAAATTTAAATGTCACACAATCTCTGTACATGGTAAACACTGAGAATGTTCAATATTTCAACTACAGATAAAACTACAATTATATTAATATGAATACTTTTCTTCCATATGGCACATTTATATAACAGTAATCAATAGATTAGTCAACATCAGTTATTAAATTAACAATACGACATAATGTACAATAATGCAGCAGCAAATGTTTGGGTGGTACAACATGATTGACAATTACGATTAATGTACATGAAACATACATTTAAATTCAAGCATTGTAAATATAAACAATTTTCATTCATTATTGATACACAAAACAACACACATTGACAGTACTGTATTGCAGGTAATAAACTACCCATTACTTTTAGTTTGAAGTTTGTCTCAACTGTCAGAACACACAGACCAAAAACTGTGGGTGTATTATGATTAATAATGCTAATAGTAATATATTGCTCACAGACAGTTTAGAAAACTTTTAATTTATTAGTCAAATATCTGAATGTTTTTAAATCATGCATCTATTTCCACAAAAATGCGGAAAATTGAATGAAAAACATCTGTGCAAGTAAATGGTGGTTTAATCACATGTAATATTACGTTTTAAGGGAACATTTTGCATTTTTTTTCGGTAACTTATTATGTAATTAACATTCTTGATACATTGTATTTCTGAATAGAAACTTGACACACATAAATATTGATATGCTTCAGCTATTATTTATTCACATGAAAGTAATGAGTAGCATTGCATTGATAAAGGTCGGACGGTTTTCACAAAACTGTGAAGGTTTCCATGGGATCAGGAGTATTTTCAAAATACCAAAAAACATTTAATAATAAGACACAAAAGACATCAATTTAATAGTAAATACATTTTTCATTAGGGATTCTAAAATTCAATTGCTTGGATAACTTGCAATTGCAAGGATTACACATATATTTTTCATCTCGTACTTGAAAAGTTATTAATGCGAACAACTATGCCAACTGGTTCAGGGGAAAAAGAGCTTGTTATGTACAACAGATGTCTTGCACAGGGCAGACAAGTGGCACAAAGTGGTGATAGTTTTTATCTGAAAGCCCAGAACATGACATTTTTGTGGAGTCTGCAAAGATTTTGTAGATAAAATTGAAAATACAAATTTTAACAGAAACATTTCTGTTTCTTTGAAATTGATAACAATATTCAAATAATATTTTAAATTATAATAAGAAAGGATTTAGATTAATAACTCCTAGGAGTGATATTTTTCTTCAAATCATTGTATTATCACTCAGTGACAAAATAATGGAATTTAATATTGTTTATAAAGCAGCCCTGCATGTAAAACAACAACAATAACAACAAAATGATACATCGTGAGGGAATGAGAGTGAATTTCACAGCTTCAATCCAATGAAGCAATGCCTAAATTGAATCTTGAATAACATTTGGGGTTCTTCAATTTTGAAAACAGAATTAGATCTCATCTAACAAATTGCACTTCATTTTTTACATTACAAAAATAAGAGTACAACAAAGCAAACATGTTACGTAAATATTTTCCTCCTCTGTAATGAATTAAACTTTTTACTAGTCTTAAGATTTCTCAATATTCCCAGCAGACTGCCATAAGAAATGTCTTGAATTGAAAACAACTTCAGAAGTAAAATTCTTACATGATATAAGTGACAATCATGTAAGGTCATACATTTGTATATTAAATTTACATACACATGACAATAAAGTGAATCAAGAGCAAGGTTGTTAAATGTTCTTGAAAAAGATAGAGAGGCATTCTTGCTTTTTGGTCATTGTGGACATTAAAAGAATTTACTGTATGTTTGAAAGATGATATCGCGAATATTTCTCTATGATTGTTCTAGGGTTGGCTTTTCAAAGGATAAACACATTCTTGTCATTTGTGTTAAAAGCAGTTTCTCCCAGAAAAAATAAACATTCTTCTTCATAAACTTCTGAAAATTTGTTGCAACTCCAGTTAATAAATTTTACCAGCCTATTTTTATACCAATATTAAGAAAACGTGGATTGAAATCAATGAAAACATTCTTTTTTGGCTCAGATGATCATAATTTATTATGATCTAATTACCAATGTATATTATTATATGCAAAGAGAAATATACTTTTCAGAGGTAGAGAACAGAAACAACTTTTAGTTTAAACACATAAAGATGCTGCACCAAAGTTGGCAGCCTTGTTTCAATAAATAGGGACTGCTTTGAGTTACTCCTTTCAAGAATCATTCAATGCAACTTTTGCCTCTTCAAAACCCTGATTGGAAGTGATGTTCATGCGACAAATACAAAAATGTGTGTTGACACATTCTTTTCCCACAATCACCATCCAAGTGCAATGAGCATCACTGTGTATCTTAACAACAACTGTGAGCAAATAGAAATGTGTAGTTTGCACACAATAAAGATGATACTTTCAAACAGTTTCCATATTAATGGGGAAGGACACATAGCCAGGTTTTTCAGAAAACCTTCTTAATCAAATGCAAAGAGACACAATTCTCTCTCATGAGAGATGACTTCTGCATAAGACTATAAACGGTTTTCATTTAAAACTGCCACGGTGTCTTCCCCTCGTGCTCTCACTCACCCGGAGCTGACGTCCAACGGTCAAATTCAATCCCACTATCAGGGCTTGTGCCCATGTTGAGTGGGCTCAAGAAGTGAGCAGCACATTTGCAGTCAGGTGGGCATGGAGGTTTATTCTCGCGTGTACTACTGTCTCCTCCTGGCCCAGAGGAGGGAACAGATGTGCCGCGAGGAAGGCGAGATGGACCTCCTGAAATATCAGAGGGTTCAGATCCTTCCAAGCCCCCTTCAATGGAAACTGTTGGTGTGCCTCCTTCCCCACTTCGTCTAGAAGATTCTGCCAGCTCTTGTTCAAAGCTGTGCAGCTGCTCCATGAAGTGGAAGTTTGGAGCTATGTTTGACTTGCGTTGACGAACCAGATTGAAGGCATCGTTCAAGCTCAGAGAAAGCTTGTACATGAGGTAGGCAACAGTGATGGTAACAGAGCGGGAAACACCAGCTAAGCAGTGGACCAAGACACCTTTCTCGTTGCTGCGTGCCTCATCTGTAGAATTAAAAGAAGAATAAAATTAGATATAATTATACTTTCATTTCCTGAAAATCCACCAACAACTGAAGACTGACCATATAGAGCAATTTAACTACCATCAAATACAACCTACTCATCATCAAATCTAAAATAATCATCATTATTTTTATTTATTTAATTTTTATTCTTAACATTAATTTACTATGCACTTAAATTATCTATGTACAAAACCACAGTTCAATATTACAAATGTCCAAGATCAAAATGTTTACAGACACAAGTGTTAAAACGCACCCCAAATGATGAGAAAGCAACAAAAGGTAGAATTAAAAATTTCGAACATGAGACTGGTTGAAAACTGGAAAGTTTTGTATGATATTTCTGATTCCAGGTGAAATTTCAAATTATATTATTTATACATAATCATATTATCATATTCTATAGATTATCCAAGTAATATATGTCTGTTTGTGTCAAAAGGCAGTCAAACATGAAATTGACAATCAGTGGATAGTGATGGTTTACTGTACTGATTAATAGTCTGAACTCTATTGTGAGATGTTTGCTGCCAAAACAAGCTTATTGCATTATTTATCAGAATTCACATTTTTGCAAAGTTTAGGGAATCCTTTGTAACCTCTTAAAAGGATATTCCCAAATAAAATATGGAAAGAAAATATCCTCAATAAGTTTAAATGATATTTTTTTATCACTCAAGCTCATTTGGAAATAGTCTTCACTATTTCTTCTTTACATAGATTATATACTTTTGGATCCAATGGTCTAATTTCATAAGCGATTCATCAAAGCAATTTCTGCTACATTGAATTGCTATAAAATACAGGATTATTATCAAACATATCATATCATGAAAATGTGTAGACTATTCCATACAACAGTAAATTGTCTGAGAGGACCAATTGGATATTCCTTCTTAACATACTAGAAATCTAGTATTATGTCTGTAGCAGTAATGAATGAAGAAACTCTCTATTTGCATTATCATTCTCGAGAAAATAGTAATTGATTCAATATACATTAATGAGTACTTCTAGAAACAATACTAGGCAAAAGATAAAGGTTTTCTATGGAACAACAGTAAAAACAGTAAAAAATGTACTGAGTATTTTGCTGTGAATTTTGAAAACAAAAATTATATACAGAATTTACTGAGTGAAATACAGAATACAGAAATGTGTATTTGATTAAAGTTTTCTTCGAAGGTTCATCCAATTATGCAAAAAAAGTGAAGAAGACTTGGACAAGCTAAAGTGGTTATAAACAGGCTTGCTTACAGGTGTGAAAGTTGCAATCCATGTCTAGTCTGAAAATCGGTTAGTCAAAACAGACACGCTATATTGAATGTTCCCCTGCTTATTTAAAATGGTGTTCTGAGCCTAAAATGGATTTCATAAATAATAAAAAGTAACATTAAAAAAAAAAAAAAAAAAAAAAATAAAAAAAAAAAAAAAAAAAAAAAACGGTTCAATACATTATAAATTATTTCAAATATACATTTTTTCAATAGTTCTAAACTAGTTTTTTAAACAATTCATGAGTGTCATAAACCAGATTTATTGAAAAGAAAAGCGCCGGCATTCAAAACGCAATATAATGTTTGCTACATCCTAAGCAAGACCATCCTTTGTGATTCGTATTATGTTAGTTCTGCAATGAGAATAGAGGCGGTGGCAGACACCCTGGCCAGTCGGAGCTCCGAAGGCCCGCCGAGAGCCGGGGCCTCCCGCTTCACCTCGCATCGCGGAGCGCGGAGCACGACGGGTCGGGGCGGGGCGGAGGCGGAACATCCCGCATCCCGGGGCGTGGGGCGTGGCGAGGCGGGGGCGGGCCGCGGGCAGACTTCGGTGAATCAGCACCGCCCACGCGGCTCCCAGCGAGCAAGGGCCACGCAAGACGCGGGCGGGGGGCGGGAACGATATTGATCTCGCACGCGGGTTCGACGCGCCCGCGACGCCCCTGGCGGCGGCCGGGCGGCGCCAGCCCCTCCCCGCACCTCTCCCGCCGTGCCCGCGCCGGAACAGAAATGGAGTAGTAAATACACACGTGGAGCGGCCTCGGGGCGGGCAGGGCAGCCGAGGGGAGAGAAGGGTGCGGCGGGGGTGCACAAACGGGGACGGACAGTGATCCAAGTCGTGAAAAAAGTGGCCAATATCAGAACATTTCAATATAATTCATTTAAAAGTTATTTTTTGGTTCGATGTTCAGTTCTGGTCAGAATAAAAAGGTGCCAAATATCTTCAAGAGAGTGGTCTGGATTCAAAAATAAATTAAACAACGGATAAATTAAGAGCGCAGAGCCGACTTCGTAACGATTTATGAATTAGTTTTCACTTTCCTATAAAGAAACGAGCTCTATATCTATTGTAATTTATTCATTCTTTCAAGTTTTATTCTTAAATGCAATGACTGCGGAAGTAAATCCGTTCTTGCCAAACCACAATTTAACTATAATAGTTCCAAGTGTCAAAATATATTATTATTTAGTCCCGCCTACAATGGATACAATTTCGCGAATGAAAAATTATTTCTCATGTTCTCGGGCTAGGTGAAATTAAAATGTCAGCAGCAGTAAAAAGTTGTTAGAATTTGCTCTTTAAATAAGTACAAATATCTGAAGATTGCAATTGCGCTTTCTAATTACTGATTGTTGTTCGTACTAATTACCATAACATACAATATCAGCCAGTTAAAGTATATCGAGAAAAAAAGTAGGGAGGTTCTGTGTGGGCAAGCCTAGCAGACTGATTTAAGCGAACGCTAAAAGAAGTTGCGTGTGTTCGATATTTCAAACGAACTCGATTCCCATTTCGCCAATTTGGTCCACTTTCTCGCACTTGCGGAAGCACAGTGCGACGCCGCCGCGCCGTCCGCGCGAAAGGGGAGCACTGGGGGCGCGGCGGCGGCCACGCAACTCCCACGCAGGCGCGACCCGCCCCGGCCCCGCTCCCGACGCGCGCGCCACTCGACTAACAGCTGCCGGCGTGCGAGCGCTTCGCGGACGGGACGGGACGGCCGGGCGGGCCGGGCCGGGTGGGACAGGGACAGGGTCGGACGGTTGGTCCGGGCACGCCGCCCCCGCACGCGCTCGTTCTCACGAAGGCGCCCGCGCTGCTTTGTGGGGCGCTTTTATTCACCGGGAGACGCGCCGATTCAGAGCGTCCCCCCCCGCCCTCGCCGACCACCTCGTCAGCGCGACACCCACCCCAAGGAGCGTTGCCAACACGCAGCTTCAGCCTCCTTCAATGTAATATAATAATAATAATAATAATAATAAATAATAATAATAATAATTAATATAATAATAATTAAGCGGAAAGAAAGCAGTAGAAACAAAAAGGATTCACATCAACAGGGGAATTTTTCAAGGAGATTTACTATTTCCTCTGCTGTTTTGCATTAGTTTGATCCCATTATCTAGACAGTTGTCGCAAGCTGACTTTGGTTACAAGCTCCTTAGTGATGAAAGACCAGTATCACTTTTGTTTTACACAAATGATCTTAAAGTGTTTGCTAAGAATGAAACGATTCTCTTTCAAATTCTGTCTGTCGTGGATGGCTTTAGCAATGACATCTGCAGAAGTGTGGTCTTGACAAGTGAGCAACAATCAATTTAAAGAGAGGCAAAGTGACAACGCCAGAGTGCATTGAAGTTGATATGTCATTCAACATTTTGAACATGGTAAACTTACAAATGTCTGGACATTGAAGAATGTGAGACCATCTCGAACGACATAATAAGAGAGAATTCGTGGGGAGTATTACAGAAGAGTGAGAGTCGTCCCGCAGTACGCCCTAAACTCCAGGAATAAAATATCTGCAATCGGTAGTTTGGCGGAGCCTGTAGTCAAGTACAGTTTCGGACTCGTGGACTGGACTGAGCAAGAAATTCGAATCATGGATCGAAAAACCAGAAAACTGCTAACAATGTATCATGTCACCCACCCTCGAGATCATGTACATAGACTTTATGTGTCACGTAAGGAAGGGCGAAAGAGGCCTCAAACAAATTGAAGCCTCTTCGCACAATGCAATAGTCGGGATGGGAAAATATGTAGAGGGTCATCAAGATGACCCTCTAATGAGGCCAGTTACGAAATATGACCGAAAAATGGGAAATAGAGGCATTGTTGTTGTAGCAAGAAACACTGCAAAGAAAACTATGCAAGATACGCAGAAAAACACAGACCCTGAATTTCTGATGCTACTTAACATGAAATGTGAGACACAAAAAAATGTTAAAGAAATCATGGAGAGACAAACCACTCCATAGACAATATCTAGAACCTAATGGACACGGTGCTAATCAATAAATATCAATCGTTTATATGGCTTAAAAGGGGAAGATGACGCCAGAATCAGAAGCAGTTATAATCGCTACCCAAGACCAGGCGTAGAGAAAATGACATTATGATAAAGCGGTTCTCAAACTTTCCCGAGATGATAAATGCCGCTTTTGCCAGGATCAAGTAGAAACCAAGTAGAAAATATAAATTAACGCAGACTTATTTAGCATTCAAAAATAAAGGATTTATTACTTCATTTAAATGGAATGACTACTCTGGAATTACCTACATCCTTCACACTTAATTCTGAGTTTTCATACATTTCATTCATGTATTCTATTTACATTTACCATAATTAATATTACAAACACATCAAGAATTTGAAAGGTTAGATAATCTTTTAGAATTCGGATTAGAGAAAATTAAGCAAATGCCATTACGCTCAGAGACCCCCTGGATCTAGTGTGCCACGAGGAGGTATCTCAACATTGCTAAATATTACCTTGAACAAAAATACTGGGGCGATGTTTTGGTTGATTTTGGAGGGGCAGAAAATCCTCAGAGAGTTCTCTAGTACAAAGAATCCTAGCTTAATACCTGACACTCAAATTTTATTATTACATATTCTGGCAACCACTGACGTAATCAAATTTAATATTTCCTCAGCCACCAAACGACGCAAGTACGATGTGAATGACAATTTAACCGTTACACTACGGTAAAAATAGTTCATATGAACAATATTTCACTTACAAACCTTTCTCATAAAAATGTATTTCCTTTAATTCTATAAAATGGGTACTTACCAATGAATTCAATTGCCTTTGGAAAAAATGAGGCAAGGTTTTGGCTCCAGTGGTCGGCAATCGGTATCTGCATGTATTTGATGGATCCCGTTTTCTCGAACACATTTGGCAAATCAGGTGTAACATTCAAAATATACTGAAAAAGAAGAAACCGAGTTAGGCTAAATTGTACTAAAGGAATTAGTCCAATTACGTACTGACATATTGGGGGACCAAATTTTCCGATCATTCAAGACAAAGAATGACTTTTATATAAATTCAAGACTTTTCAGTAAGTTTAGTACGATACGAAGACAGTTCTGTTACTGAAAGTAGCAGCACTACAAAGCAGAACTGTGATAAAAACAGCCATATTCAAAATACGGATGGCATACTAGAGTGTTCTTTTATAATTATAATTCAATTATCAGAAAAAGAGATTTTAACGATTAAGAAAACAGAAAACATTTTGAGTATATTTTTGTCACAACGAACTTGAAATTCTTGTCCGCAGAATGATCTGAATCAGAATCAGCAGAGTCGAAGCTTCAAATAATGATACAAATCTAAGTTTTCATAACAATTTCCCACCATTTTTTCCATTTCTTCAATTTTCCACTAATTCTCAAGTTTTCAATGCTCCAAGGTGCACTGACCATCTTATAACTACGTGCGGAAAAAAAAAGAAGTGAGAGAGAGCGAGCGAGAGCGAGAAAGTGTGAGAGACGAGAGAGCATGGGTGTGTGTGAGAGAGAGAGCGAGAAGGGGGGATGAGGGAGAATTTATAATCGACAAGAAATATTTATCTTTACTTCGTAGTATGGAAAGACGAGAAAGTGACGAAGGGCGTGGGGTTAGAGAGTGGAGAGAGAAAAGACGAGAGAGAAAGAGAGAGCGCGAGACGTCCCAACCCCGCTGCGCTTCATCGCAGACCGGGTGGCGGCGCCGGCCGCTCACCTGTATGCTGTGCCTGGAGAGCGCCTCCAGGTCCTCCGAGTTGGCCGCGTTGCCCAGGAAGAGGTGCGGCAGAATCTCCACCGGGAAGTCGCGGTCGTCGTCCAGCCCCAGGGACGAATCGCAGCGGTCGTCGCAGTCCTCGCTCGAGTCCCCGGAGGCCGACGCGCTGCTGCTGCCGCCGCTGCTGCTGCTCACGGCAGTCGAGGACCCGCCTCCGCCGCCGCCGCACACGTGCCGCTGCGCCAAACAATGAAATCATTTTTTTTTAAAGTTCTGTTACGTTAATTCGTAACAACGTTGTACAGGGTAGACACTCATTTCCTGAGACAAAATTCCATGCTTTTTCCTCGTTTTGAAATTGTTTTACTGATAATATTTGTACAGTATTTCAGACTATTTAATGAAAATATTAAAGCAAGCTTGAAGCTAATTTATCAGCTCTCTGATCTCCCGTGAAATAAAGTTTAAATTTAAAAAATCAACAAATAGAAAATGAGCAAACGTTTATACTGTAATAGTTTTTGTTTAGGAATAATATTGATTTTTATAACCATCTCAAAATGTTCCCCGACTTCTATCGATTCTCACACAAATTCCCTGATTTCCCCAGACTTTTCCAGAGCAATGAAATTCTCTGATTTTCCCCGGTTTTCCAGAAAGATCTTTCTTGGCGATCCTGGTCTGTTTACAACTAAGTATTGGCGTTGAACTTGGAGTGGAATAATCAATCCTCCTTTACCCTAGTCAGTCATCATCAGTCGTATTCAGCCATTGCCTTCTATCCCTTCGGCCAGGAGCTCGGGTGCCGCCGTTTGATTCCCGGAGGTCCCAGATGGTCACCCATCAATGTACACGCGAATCTCGAGTTGCTTAACCTACATGACATTACGGTTAGGCAATTCAGCTAGAGACGCCGGCATTTGGAGCATTGATAAAACCCACTCTGCCACTCAATTAAGTCTAAAAGAAATAAACTCTCATGAACCGCTGAGCCGTGCAATATGAGTATGTACCGTCAAACAAATGATACTGATGTTACACAGTGTTGGTTTTGAGTATATACAGCAAAAGACTCTCAAGTGACTCTGCAGATCTCCTGCTTTTATAAATAAAAATCCATTGGCTTGTTCAGAAACTTTTCTGTTAAATGAATTAGTGTTGATTCTTGAATATGTTAGCATATTGATTCTCAATTAGCTTGGGACTGATTTTAAGAAATCAATATGTTCTTCTCTTTCAAGAATCCGTACATGATTGAAAAGTTATGAGGTGAATAAGAAATCTTGGAAGTCCACAGTGAAAAACATAATCATCTTTGGCCAGATCTCCGACCAAAGGGGCAATTTCAGTTTATATGACATACATTCGTTTACATCTAAATACGAATCGAAAGATAATGCAATTTCTTCCGAATTGACGTTGGAAATGCAATTAAAGACAGTGCATTGTATGCTATTAGTTATTTATACGGATCCGTTAATACGAGTCGTGAGAATCTTCTCAGGAGAACCAGCTGGGAGCGGGCGTTTGAGCACCTACCTTGGAGTGATGAGACGTGGCCGATATTCGCAAGCTGCGCAGCCCCATCAACGGAACGGCCATGCTCTCTGAGCCTGCGCCGGGACCAGCCACGAGCAGCTCAGAGCAGCTTTCGCACCACTCCGGATAGCAGGTCCGGAACGAGGAGAAGCCCCCTGCGGACAAACGATCACGTTGAAGCGTACTGAGTAATTTCGCTCCCACTCTTCCTCTTCGTCGGAACTGACACTTTTTACGTTAGGAACGTAACAGAATGACATAAACGAAAAGTAGAAACCAAGATCCTTTCTTATGTTTCCAGTACCACTCAGTAGGTTTTTCTGCAGAAGTCTAGGAAAAAGTGGTCCTTGAAGGAAGATTAATGTGAATAAATTTAAAAATGATTTAAACGTTTAAAAATGATGAAGAGAGAATTTCGGGTCACTGGAAGTTACACTTTTTAAACGTTAAATGATTTCTAATACACTGTATTCCTGCTTTTTCGTTAAGTTTTCTAACTTAACCATTCTTTAATGTTCCTTACGAATTATGCATTTTTCATTCACGTTTCTCTAGTTAGTCGTCCATTGCACAAATTCACACGTCGCCGACGGCAAAAACGATTCACGATTTCTCATTAGCAATAGTTCAGTTCTATTATTTTAATATTTCGACAGACATTTCTTTGGTCGTTTAATTCAAGAACAGAAGATTCGATACACTATAAATCACATCCAGTCGAAATGTGGGCTAATGGTGGAGACCGCTCTTCGCCACGGCAGCTCCAACGCCCTCTTAAATTACTGAAATGCCCGCTTCGCAGCGCTGGCGCTTCTAATATGAACCGGCTAATGGCTCGAGCGGCGGCGGCGGCCGCAAATGGAAAGAGAATGAGCGAGTGAGAAACGGCCCCGCGTTGCATCAATCTCGCTCAGAACATTTGGCGCGAGCCAGCGACCCGCCACATCGTCGCCTGCTGAAGCGGCATCGGGAAGGAAATGCTCGGGCGGAGAACGACCGTGCCGGGGGGATTCATGGGGCAGCGGGCGCATCTGACTGTTACGCCCCGGACGAAGGATTTTTAAGACAAACACAGTCCTCATTTCAGAAGGAAAGGAATCAATGTTGCAGGCGTGGAAGAATGTAAAATAACACTAAGTTTAATAAAGTCTCCGAGCTCAATTATTTTCGTTGCCTTAGCAATTCTACCCTTACACTGCGATTTTCGCAAATCGGCCCCTGGCAGGTATCAGCTGTTGACAGTTTCATCCAATCAGGAGCTTGAAAGTCACCATAATGACGTCACAATGGTGACATTCAAGCTCCCGATTGGATGAAACAGCTGATACCTGCCAGGGACTGAGTTGCATAAATCGCAGTTTAGGTGCCATTGTGGTAATCAAATTTTGTGGCTGTAAAGGAAATTAGACTACAGAGTGTCTTACTTCGGGGGCTAGTCGCCATATCTTGGAGTGTGCTAATACACATCTAGGACCATAGGATTCCAGTACTATGTGATTTCTTGCAGCCTCTCATACACTATTTTCCCAAATGATCTAAAGATATCGGAATCAGAATTTACATATGTGTGAAAATGTAAAAACGATCGAGTGGCAACATAACACCACCAAGTAAAACTTTGTGTATCTCAATTTTATAAAGTCAAGTTGTAGAACACGCATTTGTTATTTAAAGCAAAAAGCTGATGGCCAAACATTGATAAGAAACTAAAATATCGAGCTTCATGAAATAGTGATTTCATCGCCTGGAAAAAAAATATATCAACAAATTGAGCGACTGAAATTCCCTGACACTATCCGACGATTTTCGTGATAAAAGTTCTTTCATTAACAAAAATTATGTACCAAATTTTGCTTCGACATTTCATATGAAAGCAAATGCAACGTTGGTGTTATTCGAAAAGTGCGTATCTGTTAAGGGAAAACAAAAGATTATTCCGGACGATTAAAATGGAAAATTCAAAAATTTGGATTAAAAAAAAAAATAGCAAGTAGCTGAACGTAGACTTCCCCTGACAAACAAAATTACCTGACTTTCACAGTTTCATTTCCCTCTTCTAATAAACAATATCGAACTTTGCAAGTTTACCCTGTCTGTTAGCCCACTCGAAACCTCTTCACCAGCGTTGATCCCCCGCGCAAGTGAGTCTCGGCGCATCGCGGCGGCCGTCCATTCGAGCTCGATGCTCGTGGCGGGATGGACGGAGCGGGGCGCGGCGCGGCGCGGCGCGGCGCGGCGCGGCGGGGGCGTCCGTGCAGCCTTGGTCCTCGGGTTGCAGGCCCCGTCTCGCCCGGCGGCTCGCTTCCGGCCCCACCCCGATGGCCCATTGGGCTAATAATAGTCCTATTCCGCTTACACAAGCCACGGCGCACGCTGACGCGACCTCGCGTAAAGTAGATCGCAAACGTCACGTGTCAAGGAACTTGTACACATTGATTTTACACCGTTCATTTATAGAACATTTTTAACGGTGGGACCATTACGAGAGCGTGAAGAACCGTAACTAATAGTGTGATATATGTTATGTAACTTATCTTCAGACAATAAAACTACCGTAAAATAAGATAGAGCCTTCTAAAAAAATATTGGAAAGAAGTTACAACAGTCTCTTCGTTGAACACCAAGCATATGTCTTTTAGATGATAATTTTGTTAACTGTTTGAAACAACGTATCGTTTCTGTAACACGGTTGCTACAAACAGTCACACCAGACTATTTTCTCAATTTAAGACACGTGTCTATCATGACATGTTACAATATTTTTGTTCACAGTATATACTCGTATTCGTATTCTTACTTAGAGTCGATTCAGGGCACAGAATAATTATTAAAGCACATAACAGTTTCAGGTTTCTCCCCTTGAACATAACGCTATACGATACGCAGACATAACAGTTGCTGATATCCATTTACAATAAGGTTTGAATCATTGAGGGTCTTTAATCCTGAGAAACATTCGAGTTTCGAAAACTGGTATTTTCTCATCGTAGTCTATACGTTTTGCGTATTCTGTAATTCATTAATGTATGTAACATTACATAATTGCTCTTCACTGCTTTATACATGAACGAAGTTTATAAAGAATTAACTGCTGTGAAATTTATCAAGGGATTCATTTGCCTCTCCGAAATTACTACGTCTTGGCTGGTTCCCTATTACACAATATTTTCTACAGTTATTATTGTTAACGTTATTACTTAAGAAGGATCTCAAAGATCTCTGGAATTATTGTCTGAGTTTGTACGAAAATATAAAAGGAAAGATTCGAGAAAATTGTACGAATCGGAATTTGAAATGGAGCAAGAATTGGCTTCATCCCACCTGCGCACGCAACAACGCCGTGGGTCCCATTCTATTCACTCTGATCTCCATTCACGACGTCCCGCTCTCGCGCCCTCCCCGCCCGGGGCGCGCAGCCGCCTTCCCGCCCACGCGCGCGCCCGAGGCCGCCGTGCGGCGGGCTGAGGCGAGGGCCGCCTAAATAAGGGTCCGCGGTGGGAGATCCGGGCCGGGCCGCGACTCTGTGACGCGCTTCCCGGACGCGCAGCCCGCCGCCGCCGTGAATGAAGGCTGAGGAAGGAAGCATCGCGTGTGACGTCACCGCGCGGAGGAAAGCGGCGGGCGCGGGTGTGGGGACGCGAGCAGCGCGTGGGCGTGGGCGTGGACGCGGTCAGGACGCGTGCGGGCGCCGCGGGGGCGGAGCTGGTGGGCGCCGCCCGGCGGTCGATCGACCGAATGTCGGCCGCCGCCCCCGCACCATTCAGCGGAGCGCCGAGTGGCGCGGGTCGGGCGGGGGTGGAGGCGGCGCCACCGCCGTCGCCGCACGCCACGGCGCGATGACCATTGACGAGAACGCCCGGCGGGGAGGGGAGGGGAGGGGAGAGGAAGGGGTTGGAGGGGAGGAAGGCGCGGCGCGCGCCGTGAACGGCTCCCCTACGCGACTTCCACTGCGCCGCCGCCCCCGCAGGCTTCCGTGAATTGGGGGTCTGCTCAGCGGTCCCCGCTCGGCCCGGCCGCTGCGCCCAGAGGTCCTTCGCGACATGTTACTCGCGCATGTTTTCTTGAGCCCTCATTTCGCTTGATGCGCGAGTACGGAGTTGGATATTTCGACATTACTGCAATGTTAAAGCTAGTTAAATATCGGGTGCAATATTGTTTCTATTATACAGGATCGAACATTTCTGGTTATCACATTTTTCAACAATGTTCATTGTTTCGATTATTCATAATGCAATAACGTTAGTAAAAGAGTAGGGGGTGTAATACAGGGCTCAAGAAAACGTAAGCGTATAATACTATGCAAGGTCTCTCAAATGTCGCGTATTGGGGCGAAACATTACATCGTGACACATCTAGAATTATTCTTTTCCCTTCACAATCCCTACGCTTACACGAGTACTTTCGCGTAATTTAGAGGATTATTACGAAATAGGAACTTCTGTATATTCATTTTTGACGTAAAAGGTCTTTACAATCCGACACACGAAGAGCGTCTTTAACCATTACGAAAAACCATTACGTATGCCACTTGCGGAAATGCCGCCGTATGTGATCCATTTAAAGCGAAATTTTGCCTTCAATACCCTTTCGTGCCATTCACAATAAGTTTCACGTTCTCTACTGCGATGTTACTCGATATTTGATCTACGGTCTACTCGATAATTTTTCAGGTCGCATCTACCTATCGTTTTTTCGAGCGTTCTCGCCTCGGCCAAATCTCCCTTCTTCCCGAACCTACTGGACATTGAAGTCCCTTCACATAACCAAACTACCCGTCGCTAGCACCTCTCCGCCCGGATGCTTTGAAATTAAACCCGCGACTTGACTAAGATAGCTCCCCGCTCCCCTTTCGACCAGATTTCTGCATCATTTTAGCGCCCAGGTGACCCATTATAGATTTTAAGTTGTTATCGTTGAAATTTTAAAAAAAGTTTGAGAAACAAGTTATTTTTCTCTTGCATCACATGTCCCCAATCTACCCTGGAATGTAATACTTTTATGAATATTTGATTGTTTCAAGTGAATTGATTGTTTGCGTTTAAGTTACTAGCACTCAAACTGCGGAAATAGACGAGCTTTTTCGTGAGTCAAATTATTCAATATATACAAAATGTCCCCTCATTTTTGCTATCAATGCCTCAAGCTTTGCTATGTA